GGAGCCGATCACGTGATTTTCAAAAGATCGGAATAGGGAGAAAAAAATCGGGAATCGGGAATGTTTTATTTTTTTTTATAAATACTTTTTTTTAAAATTTTGTATTCAATGTTACAAAACAAAAATGACCATGTTGAAGTCTTAAAGTCATCCTGAGGCCTTAGTTTTGGTTTCAAATTACACAGCATCATGTATGTGTTGCTTCTTTGGGGCTTGTTTTCATAGACCTGGTTGATTATTTCTCTCAAATCTGGCAACAGAGTGGGGCGCAGTGTCTAATTGTAGCAGTAAGCTAACGAGTACTGAAAGCTTTATTTTGTTTTGATCCAATGCTGCACAACTGAACTGATCCAATGCTGCTGTGAAAGAAATAAGCTATATCCATGTTGGATAGAATATCCAAATTAAATAAAAAAATAACCTTAAGGGAAAACTTGAATGCTTTTCTTCTTTTTTTTCTCTCTTAATGCATTGCATAAAGATCGGATCGGGAAAAATCGGTATCGGCAAATTGTCAAAATCAAACGATCGGAATCGGAAGCAAAAAAAGGTGATCGGGACATCCCTATAATAAAGTACATTTGAGTATCCAAATATAAAAGTAATGTAACGCTTTTGAATTACCTCAATATCAAATGCAATGCAGTTGAATACAAGTGAAAATACATATCAATACTTCTTTAAGACAAGAGAACAACATATTTATTATCAAAAATGTGTCCTCTGCTCAGAGTTTGTCTTTGTTTTTGCTTTTTAGAAAAACCTGCTTTCTATTAAGCATATTCAGGAAGTGGTCTATTGGCTAACAGTAAGAGAACATTCAATAAAAGCTCAGTTTTAGTTTCAAACTTGCAGAAGGTGGAGACATTTCCACTTTGAAGTAGAGGTCATAATGATGAACCACGAGATGAACTACAGTTTCACTTGAGACTTGTTTAACTTTTTTTAAATGTATGCATGTGCTTTACGACATATCATTGTAATCCTGCCAGTAATCCCCAATTTTGTAATCTCTCTTTTATGTAACTGTAAGAGAATACAGTGTGTGTATCCTCACTACATGATCCAGTTATTTGTAATCCGTTACTCTCCAAGCCTGGTCTTAAGTCACGGTCACACTCGCGTAAAATGTACATTCGCCTCTTGTTGACTTCTATTCTTTGCGAGTGAATGGGGAAAAAACATAAGCTATTGGTAGCGTAGCAGTCTTTAAAACAAAAAGGCTTTGTCAACGTCCTTGCTCTGTCTAATCGAGATGGGACTTAGTAGTTTGTGTTTAGTTCAAATAAACCAATACATAAAAGGAAATGGTTACAAAAACAGATACGTACGTGTCGATCTCTGCTCCTCAAGCTGCCTCCAGGGTGATGAATTGTGACTGATGTTACTATCTGCAGAGCAACATACAGAGGTTAGTATATTCTGTATGCCCAGCGCTTTGTTTGAACTTCATTCAATGTGTCTTCCTCACCTTGTCATAGTGAGACTTCTCTTCCGTGGACTCTGGATGTTTCTGGAGGATGTGCAGCATGGCGTCATGCAGCGTCAGGAAAAACATCGACGGGAGAACTTCATCGTCAAAGAAGGAACAGTCGTGCAGTTTCTGAAGGATGTAAGCTGCGGGGAAGAAAGAGGGAAGAGGTTAGTCAAAGCACCAACAGAAGGTATGACACTAAGGATTATATCAGTCATGCATGTTGGCCACTATCTCTTCTAAAAGCAACACGCTCCTAAAAAGCTTGTATCAGTTCAAAAGCAATGTTCCTTAAATCAATCTTTTCTAGTTCAAATTGTTTGCTTTAATTGCATTTTGATACCAGACATAACCAAGTAAGGAATAAAGATGCATAGGTTGGAGTACATTGTTGGGCTGGACAATTAATGCATAAGCAACTTGCGGTAGAAAATATTTGAGGTTATACATTTGTGTTACATTTTGTAAGGAATTTGAAAAGTGAAGTGTGCAATACTTATACATTTAGAGTTTATTAGAAACACATGAAGATACTTTATTGTGAAGATACACACATTAAACCTGTGTTTAAGTGTCTGCTAGAAGTTAAATGAACAATTGCAATGACTTTAAAAACTGCAGTTTAATACTTACTATCACAAGCCACAATGTAGATCTCGACTTCAACCCGAATCAGTTCTCTCAGCGCCTGAAGGGAAGGTCAAGAAGATTTATTTTTTAAATGTATTTAAAGAGTCCTCTCCTGCTGATGTTCAGGTGTATATCAGTATGTAGTGTCTCTACTTTAAAGAGTCCTCTCCTGCTGATGTTCAGGTGTATATCAGTATGTAGTGTCTCTACTGTGACATCTCTCCATGCTTTAATGTTCAAAAAGCTCTTATTTACTTAGTGATGTCACTATGTTACGGGGGTAAACAAAGGAGTCCAATGGAGGCGTTTGCAGACCATTTACATGCACAAAAAAACTAAAGTAGGGCCCATTGAAATAACTGCAACTCACCGTTTTGAGTCCCTTCAGAGCGGAGATGTCCAGGAAGGAGACAGCAGCGAAGTCCAGGATCAGGCTGTGGAGATCCGTTTTGGGAACGCTGATGTTTGCGGGAAGATCGGCGTTCCAGTCGATCCGAGCGGGAAGATCCTTAAAGTCTATCGGCAGGTCCAACTCCTCAATGTTGCTCTCATCCTCCGACTCTTTGAGGGGTCTACAGGAGGCATTAGTGAAGCCTTTCTGTAACGGTAAGACACTGTTCATGCAATGTGTAGTCATTGAAATAGCTGAATGGAGCACTTAGATGGGGGAGTTAGCTTTTAATCAGTGGTTTTGTCTAGCAGCTGAATCCAAGAGTCTTTGGCAGCCACCTGTCAATCATAAGGAAGCCCCGCCCTAAAGCCTACCGGGATAAATAATTTATTTCACTCAATATAGGACCATTTAAAAAGAAAAGAACATCATGATGTGTTACAAAAGACTCAGAACTTGAGATTAAGACCGGAAACCCCCTTAGGAAAATATTAATAGATAAAGCCAGATACAGTATGGGGTTATTTTCTCATAGACTTCTATACAATTGGACTTGAACCAATGCTGGATATTTGAAAAAAATGCAGGTTTAAGGTCCATTATTGTGTCATAAAATGTATTTAATCACTGCTAAACCTGAACAGATTTCAAACCAAAGCAGGTAGGGTAAACAATGACAGTGTCAAAAAAGAAGGAGGAGGCGATTGTGAAAGTGTGTTGTTGTTGTTGTTGTTGTTGTTGTTGTTGTTGCTGCTGAGGTCAAAGCCATTACTTACTGATGTCCACTGAAGGTCTCCCTTCTTAAGAAGCTTCCGGATCATCCTCACCGCTTTGTTTCTCTTTCTCAACACTCTCAACGGGCTAAATCCAACCTGAGGAGACGTTAGTGTGAATGAGATGTGTGGGACAAACACAAATTGTTAAGTTCAAGATATTAATTTGAGTTTTTCTGCCAAAAAAAGAGAAAAAACATCAATATTTTGTACTTACAGCTTCCACTAATTTGGTCTTGAAGAAGTCAATGTTGGCAAAAAAGATTGGTGACGGTATCCTGAAGATCTTCACTCCCTCCGGCTCATATATCTGGAGAGAGTTTTTAGGATTTTAGCCTTTGCAGACCATTTACATGCACACAAACCTATATAACACACCACAGGAAATGGAAACCCCCCCCCCAAAAAGCACAACAGGGGCCTCTTTAACTTGTGTTACTTACATCAATATAGTCCTTTCTGTCTCTGTAGATATCAGTTCCTTTGATGTTTACCAGCACACTGCAGCGAGGACTGAAAATTAAAAAAAATTAATAAAGTTTTTGAATTCGATAATTGCAGCACTACGGACTTTCTTGAAACAGACATGTATCAAACAGAGAACTGCATGCTGCCATATATAAAAGTGTATTCTATACAACAAATGTTTGGATTAGATTCAATGTTATTGTCATTGCCAGAGTACAAGTACTAAGACAACGAATTAGCACCTAACCAGAAATGTACAACAAGCAGTAAGTGCAGAGTTATTCAAGTATAATGTACTGTGAAAATATAATATATATACATGTGACGATATAAACAAACTGATGTATACACCATGGACACTATAAGGAGTATAGCAATTGACTACACTATAGATCAGTCATAATAATAATAATAATAAATGGGATTTTCCTAATGCTCAAAGACACTTTAATATCCTCCTGAGACCCATTATTAACATAATGACTAACAAATACTGAGCCCTTATTTGTAGTGCTCCATCCTTGTTTGAAATGCAGAGACACATCTGACACTTGAAGCTCAGCGTAAGTTCAACCAGGAAAACCGTCTTTACTCTTCATTTACTATTTCCATATAACTACTCTCTCTCCTCTCAATAAGTGATCGGGGGCGTCACCCTCCAGCTTAACCAATCACTTCGCTCTATTCCCAAGAGCCTATCATAGCGCTTTGCCAAACCTTTTAAATCTGCTCTCCTCCCTCTAACAGCTGTCATTTCAGGAGACTCGACACAACCCTCCTCCACCCCTCTTCACCTCCTTTCCCTCTGAATC